CCCCAAAACCCCAAAACCCCAAAACCCCAGAAATCCGAATTGAATTGATCAATAAAGATGTAAAATAATTTAAGATTTAGAATAATATATTTTTCAAAGCTTATTTCGATTAGCAGGCATTTTGATCTTAATTATTTTATCGTTACCGCTGTGTCGACTGAATTTATTTTCCTCTCTTAGTCTATGAGACAGCTAATTAGTAGTTGATGGCCTCTTCTGGTTTTAAATATCTCCTCTTATTTATCCTCCGCCACCAACACTCTATAGAATTCTTTGACTTGGATTTGCTACAAGACCGCCAGTACCTGCTATGGATCCTGGAATAATATTATTTTTAATCTCCAGACTAATACGCTTTCAATCGTCTACTACAATAACTTTTTTCTTTGCTGAACCATTTTGTGAAGGAATTTTAGTCGGAGTCGGTGATTCAATCATCTACTATCTTACATCTTCAATGTTATAAGTTACTTATTTAATAAGAGCTGTAGATCTTGCGTGGGGATTTTAGCTTTTACTCCTAGTTGCTCCAGCACTTTAAATTATTTTATTTTGAATCGGATTTGACTCATCAGGGGGAATGTATAAATTTTCGTTAAAAATGACTTTAGAAGTTCTTTTATTCGGTCCTGTATTCATCTTTATTTGCAGTAGAAACTAGAAGATAGGCTTGATTAGATCTTGATAGAAGTCAAAATCATTGTGGGTCATTTCTGTGGGTAATACCATAAAAGTCTAGCCAGAGCATTTTTCGTTTAGTTACTAAGCATGTTCAAATGGTATCAGTGTGTCTTTTTATCCATGAACGATGAAAGTTGGACACTTGACTTTGGGCATAAGTTTAAGATTGTCGAAATGTTCGGCTACCAATATACTTAAGAATCCAACTTTATTTTTTACTATGTTCTTAATTGAGGTATAGGGAGACATGAGAATTAATGCACCTGGATTATGATGTGCACAGAGGTAAGTAGCTGGCCCACTCCCCATACTTCTACCAAATATTAAAATGTCTTTTTCTCTTAATCCAGTTTCTTGCAAAACATATTAGTAGACGTAGTCACAGTCTTCTGTTATTTTTTCTGAGTTACATCCTCCTGGCTCTCTATAGATGCCATAACCTGGATACTCGACTGCAAGTATATTAATCTTTAAACTCTGCTTGAGATGATCGAGCATCTCATAGGATAGGCCAATATCTTCTGCATTCCCATGATAGTACATTAACAACTTAGAGGAGCCTGATTGATAAGGCATAAAAAGACAAGGTATATGATGAGTTCTGGTACTCATTGTAGATAATGAGTTTTAGCTGGCGGAGAGCACGCTCGTAAAACTAGCAGTTGTCTTCCCATTGACTACATCATACTCCTATTATAAGTCTGATAGCAATGAATTTCTTGGAATATAGATGATTTCTCCAAGTAAGGAATTTTGATCATATGAGGCCTTAGGAGCTGGGAAGATAATTTTGTTTAGTTTCATTATGAAATTTATAAACTTTATTTTTTTCTTCATTGTATTTTATTGTATCATCATCGCGGGGTTTTGGGGTTTTGGGGTTTTGGGG